TGAAATGAACCTAAGAATCGCACTTTCTAAGATGACTGGAGAGATGAAATGAACTCAGGTGAAGCGGCCAGCACACACTAAGTGCTCTTCAAGTATTAACTACAAGCTAAACTAGTTCTTCCTGATGCTGAAATTCTAGGCTCTGGGATTCCTGAAATTCTTCAACCAGCTCTGAGTCAAGAAACCAATGAAGACTGATCTCGAGATGAAAGGACCTGTGTAGCAGATGAGCCAAGGAAGAACAAGGACTACTCACCAGCACCAAAGTGTTTTTAATTAGCCAGCTGTAGAAGCAGGCAGCGCATCTCACTTGTAACTAAGGATCCACCCTGCATCCACTTCTTAAAGCTGTGGAAGAGAAGGTTCTGTTCTAAAGATTCCTCCTTTCCTTCACACTCTCATGATTTCCCAGTTCTTTCCAACACTTAATGCTTCTTTCTTGGCCTCTTTGCTCCGACCAGCTCTGAATTACCTTCCATCCTCTGAAGGCCCGTATTGAAAAACAATCAAATGGGATTGAACTTTGCCAAATGATATCTGTACAAAGACCAAGTACATAAAGAGAGAGAGAAAGGGGCAGGAAAAGTCGTATCATTGGAAGTACAGTGAAATTACAGGATAATAATAAAAGAGACTGGAAAGCAGATCTCATGACAAAACAGGAAGCAAAAGGCATGAGGGACATAGAGCAAGAGGACCTGCCCCGGGTCAGGACTGCCAAGTCTTGGCATTTGGTATTTTCCTAGAAGTAGTTATTAACACTTGACTTAAATCACTGAATGTTTGTTTACAGGCTGGCAGAGAGGGGGATGAGCAGAGGACTGCAACCTTCCAAAACAGACTGAGTTGGCTCTTTTTAAGGGAAACAAGATCTTCCCTTTTGCCCCTACATCTCAGAAATTCGAGTCTCTAACAGCCCAAAGTGACTTCAAATGACTCAAAATCAGCACACTGATTTGATTCCAATGGGAGTTTATGGTCATGCACCCACTACCCCCATTATCTTACTGATGGAAGCATCGGATGTGGACTCAAAAGACCAAGATTCAAATGCCAGCTCTTCCATGTCTTAGCTACAAGACCTCACACAGGACACTTCACCTAGGTGAGGTTCTATTTGTTTTAAACCTTTAAGCCTATAAAACAGCGAGACACCTCATGAACAACATGCACTCAGTACATGTTAGGTACGGCCAGGACCTTAAACATCAAAAATTCATTACACATCCTTCCAGACTTTCTCCTTCCCATCCTTCTTGGAGGTTTTTAACTTGGTTATCAAACCTGAAAGCCAGACTAATTCCAGAAATTGGCACTCTAATTGATTTCATTGGCACTGCAAAGATGTACGCTCGGGAGAGTAGCCTCCCCAAGAAGAAAGAAACCCATTAGCTTGTGGTTTTCAAAAGGCTCTTTAAGTGAAAAGTAAAAAGGAAGGGAAATCAAGTGCCCTGAGATACACTACAATGCTTTGCTGTACTTGAAATACCCACTAGGACAACAGTATAAACTGAGATTGTGTTTTGAAATTTCACTTCTAGCCAGAAGTTGGGATGTGTGTCCACACTACTTCTTAAGTGACTTCACCCAAGCTCTTAACTCTAGATTGCATTCTCATGGTAACCGCTTCCACATGGACACCTCCGGCCCAGGCCTGTCCCCAGACTTCCCTAATTCCCGACAGAAGCTTCACTTGGGTTTCTACTAGCATTTTACAAGCGATGTGAACAAAATGCTGTCCAACCCTGTTCCTCCCAGTCTTCCCGCATTTCAAGTAATGACAATTCCATTCTTCCAGTTGCTCACGCCAAAGACCACAGAGTTGTCCTTGACTCTTTTCTTCCCCTTGCACCCCACATCCACCAAGCCTGTTGGCTGTACTTCCAAATATACCCGGGGCCCAATGGCTCCTCGCCACCTCCATCACTACCACCAGCTCCATCCTTCACCTGGATCAGGGCAAGAGCCTCTATACTTGTCTCCCTGCTTCTAGCCCTGCTCCCCGTACCTCTTCACACAGCAACCAGAGTGAACCTGATAAAGGCAAGATAGATCCTGTCCACTCACTGCTCAAAACCCTCTATGACCCCAACTCACTTTGAGTAAAAGCCCACATCCTCACCACAGACTGCAAGGCCCTCCACCATCTGCCCATCTCTCCTGTTATCCCCACCCTTCTCTCATCTTATCCTTCTATTCCCCCCCTTGCTTATGCCTCTCCAGCCACCGCAGCCTCCTGGCTAGTCCAAAACCTGCCAGGCCTGCTCCTTCTTTGGGGCTAGTGAACTCAACAGTTCCCTCTGCTTGGACCACGATGTACCCATTCAGGCACACAGCTCCTTCCCTCCCCTCCTTCAGATCTTTACTCAACAGTCACCTTCCCAGGTAACTTCTCTAAAGACTCAACCCCAGCCAGCACTCCATATCCACTGCCCTCCTTTATTGGCTTAGCATATGCATTTTGCTCAGTTAGTTTACTGTGCTTTTCCCCACTAAAATTTAAGATCCACAAGGGCAGGGATTTTTACCTTTCTTGTGTACTACATTCTGGGTGTTTAGAACAGCACCATCCAATATAATTTTTAATTTTCTAGGAAACACATTTTAAAAGTAAAAACTTTAATATTTTAATAATGTAATTGAAAAACATCCAATAGCCCTATATCAAACTCAATTTTCATGGCAGAATATACTTTCTTATTTTCTAGGAAACACATTTTAAAAAGTAAAAAAAAAAAAAAAAGGTGGAATTAATTTCAATTATGTTTTATTTAACCCAATAAACTTAAAATATTGTTATTTATAGCATATACTTATATTAATTTATTATTATTATTAAAAAATAAATGAGATATTTTACCTTTTTCTAATACTAAGTGTTCAAAATGAGTGTGTATTTCTTACTCGCAGATATCTGCAGTGCTCAACAGCCCCAGGTGGCTAGTGGCCACCATACTGGGCCCTGCAACCCTAGAACAATGCCTGGCATACAGCAGGTACTTATAAATATTCATGAAATGAAAGCATGTTGTCACAGCAAGAGGCAACTATAGTACAGACAGCTGTCTAAACTGCAACTGCATTCTATTCTCAGTTCTTGCTGTGATCCATTTTTTTTCCTTAAAAGTTCATGGTTTTTATACTTGAAAAAATTTTTTAAAATAAAAATTTACATTGCTTCTATAAATGCAAGAGAGGGACTAGAAATGAAAGGACTTAGCTTGAGTTCCTGATCAGTCATTCACAAGCTAGAATCTAAAGCCACAATTTCATTAAGTCTGTTTTTTCACCTGTAGAATAAGGACAAAACTGACATTCACAGGATCATGGCAACGATTAAATGAAATGTTGATACAGCTCTACATGGGAAAATCATCATTAAGTAAAAGACTGAGAAGCCAGGCCAATGCCTATCATTTCCCATGCCTATCATTTTCTTACGGCCCATTAACAGAAAATGGCCAGCTTGTATGACAGAAGAAGAGCTAGGACTTGGGTTCAAATCCCTTGTCCACCACTTATCAACTATGAGACCTTCAGAAATTTTATCACCAAACATTCACCAAGGGCCCACAACATACCAAGCACTAGGCTAGTTGCTAAATAAGATATGAACCCTGTCCTTCAGAAGTTCACTTAATTGCCGAACATTTTACCAATTACCCACAATATATCAAGCATTAGGCTTATCACCAAATAAGATATGAGCCCTGTCCTTAAAGGATTTGCAGTCTAGCAAGGAGAAAGAGACTAGTAAAGGAGAGACAGCAGTGCATTGTTAAGAAATCAAGTCCACTCTCTTGGGTTTGTTTGTTCCTTGGGAAATGGGAATAACACCTTCCCAACCTAACTCACAAATTAATTTTTAAATGTTTAGTCATCACTCTAAAACTTTTGCATTCAATCGGGACACATGAACTAAGTCTTTTTTTTCACTACTTGTAACCCAAAAAGCCCCTGGCACTTGTGAATGCCCAGTTTGAACATTCATTCCAGTTATACCACATCCAAGAAACTCACTTCACTTCTGCAAATTTCAGTCAACATTAAGAACAAGAATGAACAGCTTCTACAGAGGTATTTCATCTCAAAATCATGATCCAGGTCACAGTTCTAAGGAACCCAACACGGACCTCTCAGTCACCCTACCTAGTTTGTCAAAACAAGCAGTCACATGGGAAGGTAAGCTGAATGATTTAAACTGGAAAAAGAGGTAAAATCATAAAGCGGTTGGTAGACACTGTCCCAGATTTCTGCAGTCGCTATGTTGCTGAGTTAATACTGGGCTAGGTCGTGGTCAACACTTTAGGCTAAAAGCCATTTTATAGCCAGAACAAAGCTACGCTCTTTTCTTAAGTTTATATGATCTGAGAAAACCTCAAAGATGATCTGAAGGGCTAGATTTCCAAGAAGGGGAAACCCTACCCCAAACAGGGCTAAGTGGACGTAACGGAAGCAAGACGACGATTCTGTGCTCCCTCCTTAAGTTTAAAAATTGAATGGGACCGAAACCAAAGTCTCGGGTAACAACCATTTCCAAAGAGGAAGGAAGGAAGCCTCTCGGCTGGGGTTCAAGCAGCATCTTCTTCCCGATCTCCCCTTTCCGTTCCTGTCACACACACACATCTCAGGCGCCCCCTTCCAGCTCACTGCCAAGCCGCCCCTTCCTACTGCCCCGACCCTCCACAAAGGTCACTCCTCTCCACCCTGGCACCTAAGATCCCTTCCCCTTCCGGAAGAACTTGCTGGCCGCCACACCCCTGACGGCCTCCGAGCACCCCTGCGCGCAGCCCGCGGCGCGCCCACCCCGCTTGGGCGGGAGCCGGGACACCCCTCCTCGGAGGCCGGAACCGCCGCGCCAGGCCCCTCCCACAGGAAGCCACCGCCCCCCGGCGCCCGGGCCGCGCCGCCCCCAGCCCACCCCGCGCCGCTCGCCGCCCGCCCGGCATCCCGCGCCCGCCTGCCGCGCCCCCCGCGATCCCCGCCCTGGCGCTCGCTACCTGCTGCGGCCACAGAAGCGGCGCCCAACTCCTATCCACTTCCGCCTTCCACCGCCCGCAATAGGGTGAAGTCACGTGGCCGCGCACGGTCATCTGACCCGGAAGAGGCTGGCCGGGCCGCAGGTGTGGACAACCTAGGCCTCGCCTAGTAGTCGTTGGTCCGGGGGCGGCATTCTTACGCTTACATGATTAAAAGCAGGTTTTTCCGCTCGGTTGTTCCCCGAGCAATCACATAAATTGTGAGCTCACTGAATGCCAGGCGCATCATATATTCTTCCCAGCAACCCCAGAGTCTAGTCTAGTCAGCCCCATTTTACAGGTCAGAGGAGACTAATTAAGCCAACACATACTGAGCTTAGGGTTACAGATAAAGTACAGGTCGCCCAGTTAAATTTGAATTTCAGATAAACAACCACATAATCTGTAGATATGCCCCAAATATTGCATGGGACCTATTTATACTAATAGAGTGTTTATCTAAAATTCAAATTTAATTGGGCATCTCGTATATTTATTTGCTGTATCTGGCAACCCCAGGCACCCCTCCATAGTCTAGAAACACGAAAGTAGCCTTCGCGGAGCATCTGTTCTTGACATAAAGCAAAGGAAGATAAGTTCTAAAACCCAGCTTGGGTTCGAAAAACGACTAGTACTGGAGGATTACAGCGCAGGCAAGTTCACTCTGGATTCCTGGAGACCGAATAAGGACAATGCACATTGCACATAAAAGGTCTTATACCAAGCTTTATCTTTGCAGGGTCAGGTCAAGTGTTAGAATCATGTCTGCCTGCACCTGTAAGTGCCTAGTGGTCACCCTTTTATACAATAGTGGCTCATTGCAACATGTGTATAAGCACGCACTGTGCAGTAGGCCAGGTATTAGATCATCACACATGTGCAGTGGGCCGGTAAATTAGGATCAGGTGAGCATCCTGGCAGTGGGAACTTCCATTTTTCCTCCAGTGCCCCACCACACCAAACTAACCCCCATTCCTTCAATCTACAGAGTAGATAGAACTTAATGAATTCGAAAAAAAACATTTTAAATCAACATTCTTCTCTGATGGTCTGGACCTTCAACTTTGACAAATAAAATGAAGGCTCAATTTTTCACTTTTAATCACCATTAACTAAAATTGATACTAATCACTTAATTAGCCTTAAGCCTTGTGCACTAATTATTCTGTTATTTTGGGGTTTTTGAATTTGGATGAATCCCATCATGCACAGGAATTAAACTGTCAAGCACTTAGCTTCTGCTTTTCCTATTCCCATTCCAAATCCAGTAGATGGCCTTTCAAGGAAATACAGTCAACTCTTAATACCTCAACCCCTATGTTAATCCCATCAATAAGGCAATTAAAACTTCTTTAGTTCCACTGATGGGAGTTTTACTAATTGTATTCTAGAAGAACTAGGGAAAGCCTCCTTGATTTAGTGGCATTTTGAGTAGATATTCACCAAAAGGAAGAAAGGACTAGGCAAAGCATGCTCATATGGTGCATTAAAGTAGTAAAAGCTACATTATATCCAGTGACCTGTAAGGCCCTACATGATCCTTCCCACACCTTACCCTTTCCTTTATTTCTCTCATCTCCAACTACTCTCCCCTCAGTTCTCTGCTTCAGCCAATCTGGCCTCAGGGCCTTTGGTGCTGCTTTTCCCTCTGCCTGGACAGCTCTTTCCCCAAGTAGTCAGACTGCTGATGCCCTCATCTTTTTGTTCCTCTCAGTGAATCTTTTCCTGTTCACCCTATTTAAAATTCCAATGCATCTCTTCCTTTGTCTCCTACCAACCCCCTTCCTGCTTTATTTTTTTCTCTGTATTTCCTCCAGACTTAATACTATCTGACTTATGTATGAATGTGTGTGTGTAATCTGTTTCCCACTACAAGAATTATGAAGACAGGAGCTATATTCCAGCTCCTAAAAGCAGTATCTGGCCTGTAGGAGGCCTCTCTAATTTGTTGAATGAATAAATTTCGTCAACACTTATTGAGCACTGAATTAATTGCTGAAGGTCCTACACCATAGGGATTTTTTTAAGACACATAAAAAATGCAAAGTATGTCATCATAAAAGTGGTCCCCAAAAGTTAAAAAGTAAATTGAAATGCTCATGTAAGGAAAAACTCCTAAAACACAGTCCCTGACTACCAATGTACTTAAAGACACACAATTAACTAGAATGCAAAGCAGAAATAACTGTTCACTGGGCAACAGAACTGCAATTATTAAATATGGTGAGAATGAAGAGTTCAAATATGTCCCTAGGGAAAGATCTTATTTGACTAATCAAGGACCAGCTTACAAAAGGGATAATTAAACTGCTTCTTGGAGACTAAGTAAACAGATTGGCCAACAGAATTTTCAGGCAGAAGAAAGACAAGGTCAAAGGCAGAGACAAAAAAGTCTGGGATATTCCCAGGAAAGTCCAGAGGAACTCTAGGGAACCCTTAATGATTTCACATAGTGTTCCTTCTGCATCAAGTTTTCCTCTCCCCTAACCTACTGTTAGGCACATGGGTCCATAGCCTCTACATTGTCCAGTCCTTGAAATGAACTCAGATATTCACTGGCACCCAAGTAAGACCCTTCTTTTCTTAAAGGGCTCCACATGGAAAAGTTGACATCTTCAAATGAATTATACACTGAGTCCTTCTATATGTGTCTGAAAGTGTTAATATTTAATGTTAACTGTTTAAAGTCACCACAATTTCAATAATAGTGTTCTAGATTTCCTTTTCCTTTTAAAAAACCATGAGCTTAAAGAAACTGAAGCATTTAAGGGCTCACTTCACCTCTAAGAGATTGTGTCTCCAGACACCCTGTGCTACCACACACACTACCCTCAACTCCTTGAACACCCCTGGGACTTTCAATCCTGACCCTACTCCTCCTTCAAGATCTGGCTCCAAAGTCATAAACTCTGAAGGTGGCGCCCTAGATGCTACACAAAATATCACCTTGTTCCTAGCTGTTACATCACCCGGCTTTTGATGGTATAAATTAGATCTCAATACATATTTGGTGAATAAATAAGAGTCCTTCTAAGGCTTTAGGGGGCTTGGAGAATGGCTCAAAGTCTAATCTTTCTTTTCTGGCTATTCCTTTAAATCAGTGGATCCCAAGTGTGTCAGTAGTAGGTTAGTATCAGTAACATCACATGGAACATACTAGAAATGCAGGTTCTCAGGCCCTGCCCAGACCTGCAAATCAGAAACTGAGAATGAGGCCCCCAAAAAAGTCTGATTTTTCAAGCTCTGCAGGTGATTGTGATGTACACTCATGTTTGAGAACTACCAATCTAGATCAGTTTTCTTCATCCTAAAGGGTTTGCAGAATTATTGCTGCCAATTTCAATGACCTATTTTATTATGGAGTTTAGTTCCCACATCCTCCCTCTTTAGACAACAGAAGCAAGTAATTGAGGAAGGAAAAATTTTAGAAAGGAATCCTAGTGTTGAGCGAATTATATCCTCTAGGCACAAGATAAAAACTTCATTAAAGTAAGGGGAATGAATGTAGAGGGGACCCAGACAGGACAAACATTTCAGAAGTGGCATCAAAAGAAATACCTGTTGAGAGTGAGGGTGGGAAAAATGATGACTCAGATTCTTAGCATAAATGCCTTTAGTAAAAGGTAACGGTAATACTATTAGTAAAAACAGGAACTCTAACCAGTGAAGAAAGTTTAAGCAAGAGCAGGAGAGTTTTAACCTTCCTGCTGTGTGAAAATACCAAGTTTTCATTTCAGGTGAAAATGCCAATTTGGAAGGCAGTCCTATATAGACTCGGGAAACCTTAAGGGTAGAAAAGGACATACTGAAGGAGATGAAGTTGGACAAAGGGGCCGGGACAGTCCTATGGAGGGCACCATGACTGCAGCGCAGAAGGGAGTCCAGCAAAGGAAGGTGGGAAGCCATCAGCGAGGCAGGGGGAGCAGAACTGTGAAGAATCACCTACGTCAGCAAGAAGAGCAGGTCTAGAGAAGAGAAGATAGTCAGCAGTGTCAAATTCTGCAGAAAAACTGAGAAAGCTGAGAAATAAAACCCCCAAAATTGATATGATGAACTAGAAAATTAGAAACAGCCTTCAACAGCACTATTTCAGGCAGGGCAAATAGGAGGGGGAACATTGACTCTGGGAGTTGAAGGGACTGGACAGTAAGAGAACTTGAGACAGCTGTTTGGGGAAGGGATGTGGACAGCCACCAAGGGGGACCCATACAGCACTGAAGGATTTTTGGAGGTAGGATGAATAAACTGTAATCAAGGGATAAGATTGAAGACTTGACAAAGTTTGGAGTAACACAACATCACTGAAGATAAATGTCTGAAAGTTCGTGTCAATATTCAACAGAAATTTGCAGCATGAAATTTTAATAGGCCAGATCTCCTAACTATGGAATCTCGGCTCAGAAAGGGAATTTAGAAGTCATCTAATACCCCTTCAGTTCCATTCAACAAGGAATTATCAGCTGGCAAATGAATTATGAGCCTTACTTAGGGAAGAGGAGTTAAGATATTGAGGTAAGTAAGACGTAGATCCTGATCCCAAAATGAACTGTTGATACATAAGCAGCGTTCGGGAGAGCGGCTCCAAATAAGTTGGTCTGGGTGTCAGTCTTACTACAGCCACTTACTAGACGAGTTACCTGGGCTTAGTTGTCTTTAACTATCCCTTGCCAGTAAAATAGCACCTTTCTCAGAGGATTTTCATGGTCATTAAATTAGGTTATATGTATTGAATGACTCTTAACAAGAACAACATATACAGGTTTTACATTTAAAGGTAAAGATGGCGTCAAGGAGCAGAAGCGGAAGCCTGTTTCCTCAGGGGTCTCCCAAGGTTTGACCCACTCACCCCCCGGTAAGGCGGCCAAAGACATTGCGCATGCGCGCGGGTTAGCTCTCGGCCGGGAGATGGGGCCGCGGCCACTAGGAGGCGCCGCTAACTCGCGACTGCTCTTCGCTGCTCCATGAGGCCCGGATTGGGACGTAGGGACGGCGCGAGCTCTCTGCGCCTGCGCGCTCTCGCCCCGATCGGCCAAAGATGGCGCGCGTGGAGCACGTTGTGGCTGATGCCGGGGCTTTCCTGCGGGACGCGGCTCTGCAGGTACAGGGAGCTGCGGCGGAGAGGAGCGGCTCTGGGCCGGCGGCCCTTGGAGGAGGGCGGGAAACCGGGCGGCGCGTTGCCTGCTGTGGATGCGTGTGAGCTGGGCCGATCTTCCCGCAGGACATCGGGAAGAACATCTACACCATCCGGGATGTGGTCCGCGAGATTCGGGACAAGGCCACGCGCAGGCGGCTCGCCGTCCTGCCCTACGAGCTGCGTTTCAAGGAGCCCTTCCCGGAGTATGTGCGGCTGGGTGAGTGTCTCAGCCCGGTGTTGATGGCGAAGACCGGCGTGAATGCGAGTTGGCGTCCGGCTACTTTATCAGCAGTTGGTTTAGAAACTGCACGTTCTAGGCGATCGAAGAGTCTTCCTGGGTCAGGCGTCAGCCAGGCCTTGAACCGTTACTAGCTCCGTACCCTTGGGTATATAAGCCAGACTCTCTAGGCCTCGGTTGCTTCATCCGTACAATGGGATAATAGGACCTACCTTAGAGGTAGCTGGGAGTCTTAAAGTAGGACCGTGGCGCTCAGCATAGTGTCTAGCGTTTTGTGAGCATTCAGTAAATTTGTTTGGATTAAAAATAGGAGAACCCAGATGCCTTTCGCTTGCTCATTTCTTTTCAGTAAATTAGAATGACTGGTTTGGATATGGGGACCAGCCTCAAGTCAGAAAAAGGGAAGGGTTTTAGGCATTACATGAGTCGCAAAAAGCCTCAAGTCAAAAACGAGTGGCTTTTAGGCGTTACATGAGTTGCGAAAGAAAACTAAACAGTTATCCCTTGGCTGAAGCGTCTCTCTCTTGTTAAGGTCAAGGGGAGGATGCTCAGAAAAGGCCCCCGGTGATGGAAGTGTTTTAGGGTTTAGAGGCTGGTAGAGAAGATACTGTTACCTGCACTACTAGTTTGTGATTTATAGTTTTCTACACCAGCTTACTAGCTGTGTAATCTTTGACAAGTTAATCTTTCTGAGGAAATACAAATGGTACTTGGCAGGCTTCGGCTGAAGGATGAAAAGGTTTTGACAGTGCCTGGTACAGAGTAAGTACCTACTACATTTTAGCTGCTGTTAATTTACCTGCTTTTTAGGAAATGTGAGCAGTATTGTTACAAAGCAACCCAATAATTTCGTTTCATTGTAGACTAGAGTAATTAATGGTTGAATTAACTTTCCATCCCTTTTTGGAAGCTGATCATCCATTCTATCAATGTTACTGTTTTACTTAGAATTAGAGAAAATTTTAGAGCTAGGAGAGAAAAGATGTTCTGTTCTAAAATAATACAAAAGCCTAGATAAGGAACTCCCATCATTTGTGAATATTATGCTTTCAGTGACTTCTTATTTTGTTCTCCCACCCCTTCACCTGTGCTCGATAAGGATGTCACAGTACACCTAGCTGGCATGAATCTTGGTGACAGAGAATAAACACAACGAGTAGAGAAAGATGAAGAAGTGGATGAAAGTGCTAGGTTTTCCCGGCGCACTGACCCTAAGCTCGTTCCATGCTTTCATCATGACCATCGAGGTCAGACAGCTTTCTACCTCTAACTGAAGCTGGGAATCTCTTGTCTACAGTGACTGAGTTTTCAAAGAAAACCGGAGACTATCCCAGCCTCTCTGCCACAGATATCCAAGTGCTGGCACTCACCTACCAGTTGGAGGCAGAGTTTGTTGGAGTGTCTCACCTACGACAAGAACCAGAAAAGGTAAATCAGGAGGACTATTGGTTTGGTTTTAAGTGTTTTATTATGTTAACTATCTGATGCACAGATGTAGAGGGAACACTATAACGGACCCTGTATCCCCATCATTTGGCCTCCACATTTATCAATTTGTGATCTGTCCAGTTTCATTTCTTCTGACCCCCAGCTTGAGTATTTTGTATTCATTTTGTGTTTCAGTGATAGATATTTCTTGGTGTATTTCCAAAGATACAAAGATAAGGTGGGTCTCTTTTTAAAAATAACCACAAAATCGTTTATTACACCCACACAAAATTAATAGTAATTCCTTAGTACTGTCAAATACCGGTTAGTGTTCACATTTCTCAATTAATTTAACTTTTTTTAAAAGTGGTTTGCCACAATATTGCTGATATCAGTGATACCTTTAAAAAAAATGGTTTGTTTGGACCAGAATCCAAAGGAGGTTGATGCATTGTTATTAGCAAACGCCTCTCCATCTCTTTTGATCTGCTGGTTTTGGGGAAGGGTTGGTTAAGTTTGAAAAATGTAGAAATAGAGAAAAAGTCAATTGTATTATCAGTGTTTTCTTTTAATAGGAAGAGTTTGTTCCAGAAGCAAGAAAGAAGGAACACTAAGTGCTTCCCATTTATTTTTTTAACTTTTGTTACCTTTAAGATTCTGGGTTCCTGCTGCCCTCTTTAAGGACTTGCCCACCTTGTCTAGGTTGAAGGGACTAACAGGTTTGTGCCTAGGTCCTGTATTGGCTATTTCTAGGCCAGAGGATTTTAGCAGCCAAATAATTAACTTTATACTTACCAATTTCAAATAGTGTTGACAAAGAGTTGTTTCATCTGCCTTGCCTAAGGTCATCAAAACTATGGTGGACACCGTGGGGTGAAAGGGATAGTTTTATATAAACTCTGTGATTGGACACAGTGTGCCTGGTACATGCATTTCCATTTGGCATCCATCAGTTCACGATTCCTTAATATTGCTCTTTCCTGCAGCCTTTTGGGCAAGAGTGATACTTTATATCAGAAGCTTTAAAATAGTTTATCTTTTGACCCAGCAATTCCACTCTTAGTTGTTTATCCTGTTTGTATAACCAAAGATACTTCCAAGTTTTACAGATAACAATGTTCATTACAGCTTTATGCATAAGGACAAAAAAGGAATGGCCCACAGTGGTGACTTGGTAGTAACCAAATAATTCTCCATTTGTATGTGTTCCAATTTTTTTTAAACTTTGGGTATCTTTTATTTCACTAACTAGGAGGGGGAATTATTTTCATCACTTTTCCATGGTGAACTTTCAAACTGTATTTCTTTGCTTAGAGCTGTCACTTTTCTTTTTAAAGGTCAAAGTGAGCTCATCAATCCAGCACCCAGAAACTCCTCTACACGTTTCTGGTTTCCATCTGCCCTCAAAGGTAAAACTCCTTAGATAAGCCATGCTCTTCATGCCCTTTCTGCCACATGTCACATCCCACAGATTGTCCACTTACAATGAGCCAGTTACCTAGGCTAATGTCGCAGTTTATTTGGTCCTGTCTGATCTGACTTGTATGTCATATATCATTTCATATGTAACCCTCTCAATTTCAGGTTTTAAAACTATTATTCTTTCAACCTAGCCTAAACCCACAAGAGAAATAGAACATGGACACCCCCCCAGTGAGCCTGATGACCTAGAATTTAGTTCCTTCATGTTCTGGAGAAACCCTTTGCCTAATATCGATCTTGAACTGCAGGAGCTGCTGGTAAGACCCTGAGACTTCTGATCTCCCTACAATAACACAGTGGCTTTTCCCTGCTCTTCTGTAGGCTGGGTGTCTGTGAGTTCTGTTATTTCAGAATGACAAAGGTGACGGTGTTCCAAGTGAGGAGGAGGAGGAAGAGAACGGATTGGAAGAAAGGAAAGGTGAAGCTAGTGGCGATGATGGCGGCGAGTGGATAACCCCCAACAACATCAAGCAGATCCAGCGGGAACTGGAGCAGTGCGCTGTCCCCGAGGACGTACGGGTTGGCTGTGTGACTACGGACTTTGCCGTGCAGGTGGGTGCTTTGGGCATCAGCCAGCCCTGGGCTTTGTGTCCTACTTGTCAGGGGCAGTAGGCCCTCTGAGGCTGGGGGGTATGTGCAGAGGTGCTGTGTAATGCTGCTTTTCCCGGTTCTAGGAACGTTCCCTGTGCTCTTTGGTCATTTTTAGTTTTTCTTGGAGGCCAAAGAATCATAATGTAGTGACAAAGTGTATACAGTTTATCACATTTTTCATGTTTACTATTCATGATCTGTGGATGCTGTTTTTCTGTGTACATGATGTTCTATGTCAGTTAGGTACTTGGAGAAAGTAAGGAAAGTTTCTGGTCCAGAAAAGAGTATTTGCTTTTGACAAAATAAATGACTGTGTTACAAGAGATTGTAATGAGTGCAGACCCTAGCACTTGAAATAAGAGAGAGATCTGGGACCTGTTCTTAGTTTACATGTTTTGAGAGTCAGCCTAAGCTTACTTTTCCTTAGCACAAGCCCTTTATGAGCCAAGCCAGGGTTTGTGAAGTTCCTTTAACTGTGATTATACAGATAGTTAAAAGAAAATTGGGTGTTACTGTGACTTCAGTTCTGCTTTAACTTGCTGATTACAGAACGTTCTGCTGCAGATGGGGCTGCACGTGCTGACGGTGAGCGGCATGCTGATCCGGGAGGCCCGGAGCTACATCTTGCGCTGCCATGGCTGTTTCAAGTACGTAGCCTGTGATCCAGACCCAGTGCCCTTCTGCTGGTTGAGCTGCCCGCTCTTGCTGTCCTTCTACAGCCTTCTTGAAGGAGACCCTTGCATTGTGTACGGGTACTCGCCCCACCTTGTGGTTCCCGTGGCGGCTGAATTCTGCCCCCACCAGGGCACTGAAGCCCCTGGGACACAGTTGCTGACAAAGTCAGGAGGGCGTTTTTTAGCCCTTTTTTGGTGGTGTAGGACTAAGGGCGTGAGCTCTGGAGCAAGGAGCCCTCATCGTTTAGAGATCAGTACTGCAGTGATTCTGGATGGACATGGTTGTCTGGGATTTGCTTTGAAATGACACCCAGGTGGGAGGACTGGGTAGAGTAGAGATGTGACAAGGTGGCCATGAACTGACAGTTGTCAAAGCTGGCAATGGTACTTGGGGGTTCATTGGTCAACTTTATGTTGAAATTCTCTACTTGAAAAAAAAAAAGTATAAGGTAGATCCAGATTGCTTGAGTTCAAACTCAGCTTCTGTCTCCAAATCCTATAACTGTGTCACCTTGCAGAAGTTGGTGAACTTCTCTGAGCTTCAGATTCTTCTCATACCAAATTGAAAAGCCTATTGGGATATAGTCACACAAGGCAGACAGTCACATAAGTGTGTGGTGTCTGGCACATAGGCAGCACCTGTTCAGGATAACTGTTAGTCCCTTGACGTGTCCTTCTAGCCATTTCTTTCCTGACTCTTGAATTGGTTCTTGTGGTGAGGGTGATGTTCCATGGGGAGGCCCTAAGATCCCAGAGACCTGTTTGGAGTGGAAGAGACTATCACAGCCTTGCTGTTGAAGCATGGCCCTGGCACCTTCTGGTTTGGTGGCTTTCAGCCTTTCCATAGATTTGGGGGCCATCCCGTCAGTCATCTGCTGGAGCCCCATATTGCAGAGGCCTTGTGGAAGGGTTCTGAAGCAGTGAGGAGTCGTACTGCGTCCCAGTGCTGGTCCACTGAGCGGGTGGAGTTGCCTGGATGGACTTTGTGCCCCTGCAGGCTAAAAAGCAACCCGTCACTCATGGCCCTGGGCGCTGTCCTGCACCGTGCTTCACAGGCTAGCCCATGATACAAGGAGCCACCACTCAGAGCTGCCTCCGCATTCTGCTCAACCTTCATATGTGGACGTACAGGGCTTACAACAGCAAAAGTCCTTACTTCATGAAATCTCATTTCCCCCATTGTCCTTGTTAATAAAGCCAAGTTCCCTCAAATAGTCAGTCTTAGAAATTGGTGAAAATTTTCTTCATTCTTGTGAGATTCACCCCAGTGACTGGATAGTTTCTTGTACAGAAAATTCATTCCTGGCACCTGTTGAGAAGCACTAGCTCACTGTCCTCAGAGACTTACAGGTGAATGCTCTGGCTTCTCAGGAGATTCACACGGTCTCGCCTCCTGATCCTCGGGAATTGAGGGAGAATTCCTCAGGGACAGACACCAGGGCTGCTGTTTCACCCTTGACAGCAGCAGTTTTTCTTCTCTGACGTTCACTGTTGGGTCTTGAGCAGGTAGAGAGGCCAGGCCTCTGGGTCTGCCTTCTACACACACACACACACACACCCCTCAACTCTAGCAGCTTTTATATAGTGTCCTATATAATTTGTTAAATTCTGGCAGATCCACAGCCGCTCCTGGCGTAACGCCCAGGCTGAACTTTGGGGACGAGGTATTTAGAGCTGTAATAATACACCCCTTGAGAAAGTACAGTGATGTTAAGAGCATTAATTCTGGAACCAGATTCCTTGGATTTATATCTGCCAGTTACTAGATCTGTGACCTTAAGCAAGCTACCTTACCTTGTCTCAGCTTCCCTATCTGTAAAACAGGTATTACTAACTTTGTAGGATTGCTTAGAAGATGATAGGCTCAACAGAATGAAGTCCGAGTCCATTACTGCCACACAGTGCCCTGCCTGAGTTGCGTGTCTGCTTCCTTGACGCTTGTGTCCTGTCCTTTCCCGCGGGGCTACACAGTGGCAGTGCGTTCACCTTGGTCGGCAACGTGTCCAGTGCTGTTCAGCATTTCCCGTTGCTTGGTGTCCTCCCCCTGTGAGGCCCGTGACTCGCCTGTGCTTTGGGGACAGGTTTGCTGCCTGTGGCTCCAGTACAAGGCGTCTCCTTTTGTGTCTCCAGGACAACATCCGACATGAGCCGAGTGTTCTGTCCACATTGTGGAAATAAGACCCTGAAGAAAGTATCTGTGACGGTCAGCGACGACGGGACCCTGCGCATGCACTTTTCCCGCAACCCGAAGGTGCTGAACCCCCGGGGACTCCGGGTGAGCAGCATCTCCCTCTCCCTTCCCAGCAGGGCCCGGGACTGGGGAAGCCAGACCGCTGGGCCCAGGATCAAAGTGAAAAGAGAGGACCAATAACTCTCGTCATTTCTACGAGATAGTTGTTGAAAGCCTGTGATCAAGGTGCCTAGACAGATGGGGAAGTGCGGCCTTGTGTGCGTGTTCTAAGGACGCTGCCGGCTAATGAGAAATAACTAGTAATTCCAGGCAGCAAATAGTAAGGGCCAGATGTGTACAGGGTCATGAAGGAATGTGGTGGGTCATGTGCAGTATGGTGGGAGTCAGATTTCTGCCTGAGTTTGAGGGTGGGCAGAATTTCCAGAAGCTTCACGAACCAGAGGAGAAGCTGGTGTAAGTGCTCAGCACAAAAGAGAGGCCTGGACTCGGTAGTGGGTTTGTCCTGAGGAATTAGGAGGGAATGGTTGGGAGACAAGTGAGTCTCAGGGTATGGCAGCCTGGCACTGGGTTCCCAAGTATGGCAAATGCCATCATGCACAAGAATTCTGACTTCCTATTTTGAAATAATTACAGATGTACAGAACAGCTCCAAAACTGGTACAAATAATTCCAGGGCACAGGTTTGCTGCCCTTTACCCTTCATGTAGATTTCTCAATTTAATCTCTTACCACATTTGCTTTATCGTTTTACATATTTTTTTCCTCCTAAACCACATGAAAATAGCTAATACATTATGCCCCTTTGCACCCTAGAAACGTCAGGGTGTATTTCCTGGAACAAGGACTTTATTTTATGTAACCACAGTATAATTATCAAAATCAGTAAGTTAATGAACCAGAGCAGATAAACTATGAAGTCCAAGTCCATTACTGCTGCACGGAGTATTATCTGCTCTACAGACTGTATTCTCACACTTTACCACAGATTTCCTTTATCGCAAAAGGAGTTTTATATCCAGAATTACATCTGGCATCACACATCGCATTTAATTGTCATGTCTCTTCAGTCTCTTTTAAACTGAAGTCACTTCTCATGTCTTCTGTCATTCATGATATCAGCATTGTTGAAAGTATAAGCCAGGTGCTGTGCAAACCCTCCCTTCCTTTGGGGTTTGTCCGGCGTCTCCTCATGGTTTTCTCTAAGCTGTGCATTTTTGGCAGAAACATCCAGAAGTGATACAGGGTCCCTCTTGGGGCATCATGTCAGGGGGGCAAATAATAATTGTCTGATTTCCTGGTGATAGGATTTTTGATCACTTAGTTAAGAGGGTTTCTTTTATAAGCACAATATAATTATCAAAACCAGGAAGTTAATATAGCTACAATACTGCTATCTAATATAAGGATTGTATTCAAATTTAGCCTCACATTTCCTGTAACACTTTCTAATTAATAAGTAACTTGTAGAAAGATAATCTGTTAGGTGTAAATACGATTTCTCATCAAACTTCAACTCACCAGTTAAAGTCACGTGAATCATTTTTTTCTGTGATGGTTGTAGCCAAATGGTGATTTTCTGATCCCCTTATTCCTATTACATGATTGTCAAACTGTTCATGGAGCCTCTTCAAGCTGGTTTCTGTGTCCTTCTGACTTGTCCCAATTACCCTTTGAATACTTTGTTATTCTGTGATTGACATCATACTCCAGCTCTTACACTGCCCTGCCCTGGAATCAGCCATTTTTCTGAGGAGCTCTGGTTCTTCATGGACAATGGTTTTTAGAAACAAAGATCTGGGCACTGGATGGGTTCATTGTTCTAGGGTGTCACTGAGTCTTGGCCCGCAGTGAACAGAGATGGAAGTATATGCATGTGTATGTAAGTACACATGGGGATATTTTGTATTTCTGTATCTATACTTAAAATTGAATTTATAACTTCAGTTTCAACCCAAGCCCAGCCCACCCTTTGTCTTATATTCCTAATACCCTTATTACCAACATTTTCAATAATCATTTGTTCAACCCTAGAATATATGTTGTTGTTTTAGAATTGCTAACCCATCACATTGTGAAAATGGTACCTGAGTTCAGCATACAGTTCTTTCTCTCTTCAGTTCAGGGTTGGGTTTTCATCTGTAAGTTGAGGTGGTGATGAAGTGGGAAGGTGTGAGGTACGTGGTCAGCACACAGTAGGCAGGGAGTGGTAGGCTCCGTGGATGCCATCTGCCTGCATCCAGAGCTGTCAGGTAAGCCTTCTGCTAACAGCATCTGACTCATCCGAGTGTGGAGTCACTTCTAATGGCCTTTCCTCTTATTTGCAGTATTCACTTCCTACCCCCAAAGGGGGCAAATACGCCATCAACCCCCATCTGACTGAGGACCAGCGCTTCCCTCAGCTGCGACTCTCCCGAAAGGCCAGGCAGAAAACTGATGTGTTTGCCCCTGACTACACAGCTGGGGTATCTCCCTTCGCGGAGAATGACATCTCCAGCAGGTCAGCCACCCTGCAGGTCCGGGATAGCACCTTGGGAGGCGGGAGGAGGCGGTTGAATCCCAATGCTTCCAGAAAGAAGTTTGTGAAGAAAAGGTGAAGTGCCAGCTCCCCAGGCAAACAGGACTGCTGCAGCTGCCGGAGTCGGGCCTCGCTCCCTGGCCCTGCCAGCTCCGGAGCCATCGGGGTAGAAGGAACAGGCCTGGCTTATGCGGTGCCACTTCATGACTTGCTGCTGTGTGGCAGTTGGGTTTGTGGAACTCGGCCGTCCCTGGCCCACGAGTATCCAGAGAGCTGGGATCACTGCCGTGCTGAGGGGATTTGATGCGAACAGAAAGCGGTGCCCTGGAGCAAACCTTCAGTCTGTAAAGCAGGGAACTTCCAAGTGGTAATATTTTTCTAATAAATATGGTTGCAAGCTTCTGAGCATTTTCATTAAATAGGCCACATTTTTGCTTTGTAGGTAATTTGAAGGCTTAACACTTAAATCTAAGTACCTGATCCTTAGTTACACATCTTTTTGTGAGAAAATATATACTACGTTTGTTACAATAAAATTAAGAGCTACCGTTTTCTCTTTAGCTTATTTTGAAACGTTTCAGTCATTCAGGGAAACTCAGCACAGGGAACTCCCACGCAGCCTTTCTCCTAGATTCAACTACTGTTAATAATACTTTTTTTTCCCCTTGTGCACACGAGCACACAAAGCATCTCAGGGGAGGAGGTTCTTCCACCCAAGCACAGCGCAACGGTCACATTCACTAAATTTGACATTCAGATATATTAATACTGTCTGATATATAACAATTCAGATTGTTCCAGTACTGCCCTTCATAGCATTTCCCCCAGTTCTGAACAGTTTCTTAGCCTTTGTCTTTTGTGAAGTTGACATTTCTTAATAGTACAAGCCAGGTTTTAAAAGGTCCCCCTCAAGATGGAGGTGATGTGTGGAGAGCAGGAGACTCCATGGTAATAATTAGGGCCTTAGGCTAAGCCTGCCAAGTACAATTCTAAATCTTTTTATTGGTAGTATATATACAAAGTGCTATCTCCAAAAGTTTCTTAAGTAGGTTTTTTCCTGTATGGTGGTCTTACCCATTTGGTATAGTCGGTTTTTTTGGTTTAAATTCAGTTTAAGATTTTCCCATCCTACTTTTTTGAATATGGAAACACAGTTCCAAAAGTTAAAACTAGAAGTATAAATTCAAAACAAAAGGTGTATCAGAGCTAGATGCCTTCCCCTCCCATGTCTCCCTTAACCTCTGCAGTTTCATTGGTTTCTGACTTAGCTTTGTTTTCTTGTGCAAAAATATGCATGATGCATTTCTTTTTCTGTTCCACTAAAGGTGTACTATATTTTTTCCCCACTAGAAATCACTGCATAATGCAGTTGATATAGATCTTCCTTACTCTCTTTACCAGCTACCTGGTACATACCATTTTGAAAAGCTACCAGTTCAAGCACTTAACCACATTATAGGCTCTGCCATTTCATCCACAGCACAGTTCTGAGGTGCGAGCACTCCTTTCCAGCAGGCATGGCTACGAGAAGCTTGAGAGCTTGCCTGAACTGTGTCCAGGCCAAGATTTCAGTTTAGTCCATCTGTGCTTTTATGCAACAGATGAGATCACAGAAGAAAGGCTGAATACTTTGTGTCTCCCCCCACCTCCCATCTTTGTGAAATTCATTCTCTTGGGTGGCACCTGATAGGTCAACACACCATTAGAGCCCAGGATGATGGAGGAGAGGCAAGTGGTGGTATGGCTTGGTATGCTTACTGCGTTATGTCATTATACAGAAAGGCAGGGATGATAAAACCCAGGGACCGGATACCCAGCCTTCTCAAGTCTTAACATTTCACTAGTAAATTCAAATTAAAATATTTCAGATTTTAAAATCTTGATCTGTCCAAAACAAGTCAAGTCTCCCAACTCTACTGTGGGACAAAGCATTGGAGAGGAGAGCACATTGCACAGGACCCTGAGTCCTCAGCTGAGTACTGACCACGGGGGAGGAGCTCCCCCAGGCTGGGCAAAGAAATTCCAGCAGAGCAGAGGAAATAACGCTGGGAGCTCACACAAAGCCGAAAACAGTGTTCCCACCGAGAGTAGAAAACAATTCATAGGCGTTGGGCAGGTACTCGAGTGGGAAACATCTCTAGACCAAAGGCTGCTTTGTTTCCAACAAAGCAAATCCCAAAAGGATCCTCATAGCTCAGGACCAGAATGAGTCCTATGGCCCCATTCAGCCACATGGGACCAAGAAATGCAATCCCAAAGCAGAATGGAGGTTCCTCAACTAAAAATAGAAATACCATTTGACCCAGGAATTCCACTCCTAGGAATTTACCTAAAGAATGCAGCAGCCCAGTTTGAAAAAGACATATGCACCCCTATTATTGCAGCACTATTTACAATAGCCAAGAAATGGAAGCAACCTAAGTGTTCATCAGTAGATGAATGGATAAAGAAGATGTGGTACATATACACAATGGAATATTACTCAGCTGTAAGAAGAAAACAAATCCTACCATTTGCAGCAACATGAATGGACCTAGAGGGTATTATGCTCAGTGAAATAAGTCAGGCAGAGAAAGACAAGTATCAAATGATTTCACTCATCTGTGGAGTATAAGAACAAAGAAAAACTGAAGGAATGAAACAGCAGCAGACACTGAACCCAAGAATGGACTAACAGTTACCAAAGGGAAAGGGACTGGGGATGGTGGGTGGGAAGGGAGGGATAAGGGGGAAAAAGGGGCATCATGATTAGTATACATAATGTAGCAGGGGCTGGGGGGGACATGGGAAAGGCAGTACATACAGAGAAGACTAATGATTCTATAGCATCTTACTGCGCTGATGGACAGTGCCTAATGGGGTATGTGGGGGAGACTTGATAATAGGGGGAGTCTAGTAACCATAATGTTTAAGTAATTGTACATTAATGATATAAAAATTAAGGAAAGAAATGCAATCCCAGTGTCTGGGAGATAGGGTGCCAGAAATACTTGGCGAACAGCATTTGTGCCTCGTGCCAACCTCAGCTGCAGAGATGCATGCATGTGGCTTTAAAATGAACTGTGAGCAGGACCCGTGATAAAGGGGGTTGTAAATGCATGCATAGCAAATCGTTAATTCCAGCTTTTCAGTCCTTAGAGTTTTAAAAGCTTAGGAACTTCCAAATGATTGCTTGCTTTCACCCAGTGATAGCCTCTACCCTGCAGGAGGTGGGGGCTGTCTTCTAGCCCCCTGATACCTGTTCCCAGAGCAGGCTGTGGGGGTCATTTATACTGATGAGGAATGAGCTAAGGCAAACAGTTCTGATGCAATACTGTAAGGACAAAGAGCCTCCAAAATCGGGAGCAGAAAAGAACTTCAAGAATTAAGAACAAAGTGGCCTCTGGAATCTGCCTCAGGACCATAAGACAGTACAAACTCCCTGAGCACAGCAACACCACCCAAGTTGCCACAAGACGTCATTTTCCCAAACCCATTCGTTCACTCAGGCCTGTTCTTCCAACAATTCATCTATTTCACATACATGCACAGAGCAAACTCATTCTAGAATGGGGAAAATAATTGTTTTTTTAAAAAAAACTGTAGGGTGTTTCTCTTTATCCATATGCCCAAACCAGACTTGCCTCCATACCAAAGGACACTACTAGGCAGAGGGGAACAGGAACAAAGCTGCTCCCAGGCAAGAAGGGGGACTGTCCCCTGCACTCCTTCCTTCATGTGGGGGGCGGTGGGCGTCCATCAGGCTGAAACTACAAGGGTGAAACTGTAATTCAGTCTCAGCTTGGTGACATGGGACTTAGCATAAGAAATTCATTTGGGCCTGTTGGCTCTCTTTTTACAGTTTAATATGTCAATATTTTCATATTTGATACCTGGTATCATCTGCTTCCTGGTCATTTGGATGTGACCCGCTTTTTTCTCTGTAACCACTCTTTTTATTTCCAGAATTCTGAAATTTTGCCCAGATGAACATTAAAAGGGCGACCCCAGTATGACCTTGTTCTGTGCTCAAACACGTTTCGGGACTACTGTGGCAATATATTAACTTGTGCTTTTCTAAATGATCAAAATACCATGCTTGGCTTACCAACGGACAGTTCTCGCTTTATCATCCTTTCATGTACAAAAAGGCAATAGGGTTTAGTCCTCCTTCTCTGGCGAGTAGGATGTAATGATCTCTAACTTAATGAGGACACAGCATGGGAAGAACTATTCCCAGTACACTTGCAAGTGTCCAAGACACCATCTCGGCAAGCCGCATAGCTGCGCTCCGGCGCGGGGCTCCTCTCGGTGCCTCACGCTAGGACGAGGCGCACAGCGTGGAACCACTTTGTGTCTGAAGAAAAGCATCGAGATAAGAAGGAACTCCACGTTCGCCTGTTTTCCTGCACACAAGGACGTGCATTCCTGCAGGCCGCGCCCTTTCCCTGTTGGAAGCCCGCCTGGCTACGGTGCGGGCGGTGCGGGCGTCGGTGCAGTAGCAGCCGGATGCCAGCCGCCGTTCCCCAAGGGTCCCCTTAATAACGCCCAACCACTCGCCAAGCCGACCTTGTCCGAGTAGGTTCTTTGGCCCATCCGGTTCCTCACAATTCGGGGGAAGGTATTTCTTTCACATCCCTCCGGGAATTTCTTATAACGATATATGAGAACAAATAATAAAAAGGCAAATTTTGCTTTATAGGGGTATGACAAAAAGAAAAACTAATATAGTTACATATAAAAAATACAGTAATTATAGTAGTAAATATAACAAATACATTAATTATAGTAATATATATAATAAAAACTAAATCTTATTATATATATAATAAAAACTAGATTGCAATGATCACACAAATAAATGGGGTGTTTTATATTTTGCAGCCATATTTGAGAACAAGGCTAACGTTTTAACTAAAAAATGAAAAATTCTAGCACACAATTATTTTAAATATGACAAATGATAGATATTATTTGGCTGAAATGAAATCTTTGATTGGCAGTTGAATAGTAGAATAGAGGAATTCTAAGCGGGGTCTTGATTAGATCAGTTAATTTGTGAGACTACTGACATAGGGAAACATTTTTTTATCAAAGTTATACTTGGGAAGTTTTGATTGTTAATTCAGGATATTTTTAACTCATATTTAACCTAAATCCTACTGGAAAACATTCCTTGATTGACACTTCTAATGTGATAATTCTGTACAACTATCTTCTTTGATACAAGATATGGTTAATTGCAGGGTGTTACTGACATTTCCAAAACACGCCCCATGGAAGTAATAACACTGGAATCCACACTCAAGTAGCACATGCAAAACTCTGGGACATCTAAACAAAAAGCCCCCAAATTATAAGCTGTTTTTATTTTTACCCCAGTACATGCAGACAGGAAGAAGTCTAGAGTGGACTTGTTGACA